GCAGGTCAAAGGTCGTTCTTAGGCTCTAATGGATGGGTGGATGTGGAAGTGTGTGTTTAAATGCCACTGTGCAGTGTAAGAGAAGCTGAAGATTAGAAAAACACTAGCCGTGATAAAACTAAAGCTTTTCAAGACCTGCTGGGAAACATGAATGATGCTGAGATGTTCAGGGTGGATGTGACAGTTGCTATACAGCAAAAAAAAAAACATCCTCCTCTTAATGTGTGTTTGTGTCTAATTTTCCAGTATCTGAAATTCCTTATAACAACATCCATTGATTGCATAAGATATTAAGTCTAGTTTTCAGAGAATGTTTTTTTTTGTTGTTGTTTTTTTTTATTTAAGTGCATTTTTTCTCTTTTTTTAATACTTAAAACAAGTGAACAAATCTGCCAGTGCGGTGAGGCAAAGTACACTTATATTAAAGAAAACAAGGCTTAATATTTTATGCAGTTTTGCTTCTCAAGTAAATTTGTCTTTTGATTTTTTCATGCATTTTTAGATATTTTGTGGGAAATCAAGTCTAAAAAGATTACATTTAATTAAGAACTATTTTTTGCAGGTTTTCTCTGTGATTTCTGAGACGTTTCAAGGATGTTAAGGTTTCTAGGCAGTTGCTAGGGCATTGTTACGCTGTTGCACAGGTTTTGGTGGTTGCTAGGGTGTTGCTAGGTTGTTCTGAATGGATGCTACACAGTCGCCAGGCCATTGCTAGACTGTTGCACAGGTTCTGGTGGTTGCTAGGGTGTTGCTAGGGCATTGCCAAGGTGTTCTAAGTGGTTACTAATGTGTTGCTGGGCTGTTTAGAAAGACCTAAAGGATTGTGGTAATTTTAACAGATGTAGTTTGAAAGCTCAGTAGTTTCAGTCTTTTGAAACGCTGTTTATGTTCAATAACTGTATGCTGGCTTTGATAAACTGACGGAACAGGAGAGCACAGCAGTCGGCATATTAAAAAGAACAGCAGTAATAAAGCAGAACAAGGTGCTTTGTTGTTGGTGTGCGTGTAGCTGAAGGCTGATGTCAGACGTTAGTTTGATTACAGGCGCTAAAGCGAGTCGAGCTCCAGGTGCTCGTTCTGAACGCTCACATACAGCATTCAGCTGAAATGCAGTTTTAATGCCGCAGCTGCTTAGCAGGCATAGAAAATATACCAGCATATACATCACTGGAGTCATGCAGCAGCAGAACCAGTTACTGGACTGTTTTCATTCTGCTGACAAGAGTAAAACATTACTTACTCCTCTAGAAAACACTGGAGCCACTGGAAATTCATCAGTGAACGTCACAGACGACTGATGCGCGCGACAAGCAATTACTGTAGATACAGTAGATTCATATCATTTATTCATTATAATAAATGCAATATAATTATTATTATTAATGATAATAATAATGATCATAATAACAAAAACAGTATATATAATATATAATATTATAATAAATGTTTATTATTTTTATTATTATGTTTAATTTATATAGAACCTTTCCAGAGCTCCAAAATGTTTTACAGTAGTGAAGCATAACACAGACAATGTACAGTCATGGGAAAGTGCATATTTACACAATTAAGCATATAAAATAATATAAGCACCATTAAGAATATAATTTAATATTCTAAATAATATGGCATTATTCTGGATTTTAACACGGTTAATCTCAAAAGTCCTGATCACAGAGGATGTTGATGAATATCACAGTGTATCAATCAATTAATCAATCAGTCAATCGTGTTTATTTCTGTAGCACATTTAGAAACAGCACGTGTTGGCCAAAGTAAATGATTATTTGTTCGATTGAATCAATCAAGAGTTTTGTATGTATTTTTGTTTTTCAGGAGACCAAAATCGACTGCGTCCGTGTCGCTACCAAAGGTAGGTATTCTAATTTATGCAAGCGGACATTGAAAATGTAATTAATTTGACACATGTGCATGTAATCAGCATGACGAAGCAGTGACAGATATTTGACAAACCAAACAGATGCTGTTAGTGTTGTAGCCTGATTCGGTTTCTGAAACGGTTCACACGCTGCACTTGTCCAGTCAATGTTATTAACCTTGTAAATATGCAAATAAGCACATTAACCTGGGGTTAATTACTAACTCAGGTTAAAGTAAGAGCAACGTGAGATGAGAGACATGACGACCTGGGATTATAAATGAGCGTGTGTGAAGACGAAGCGCTGCATGGTTCTGCTTTTGTGTGTGTCTTGTGCAGGTTTTCAGTAACTGCTCGTTTTATTCTTTCTCCTGTTTGTTTCTACTGTCTCTCTCTCTCTCTCTCTCTCTCTCTCTCTCTCTCACACACACACACACACACACACACACTGGTTCTATCCCTGTCTTTCTGCATGTGTGTGGATCTTGTTCTTGCAGCTGCTATCTTGGTGACGCAGCTCACCACTCCTTACGTTCGCATCGCTCCGGCCGCTGGAGACAACCAGCTAACAGGTCAGAAACTCACTCACTCACTGCATGTGTGTGTGGATGAACTGAAGAATCTGTCTCTAACATAATCTTTGCAGAGATAAAGCGCTGATTACATCAACTTGTACAGTGTTCAGTGTTATTTTAGTGTTGTTGACGTTTTTAAGTACTATTTAAATTAGTTTTTATATTTCCCATCTTCATTTTAATTTAATTTAAAGTTTTAGTTTTTTTTGTTGCATGATTTTATCATTTTATTATTTTTGTATATGTCTATATCATTTTTATTCATTTGTATATTAGTTTTAGTTATTTTAAGTTAAACCAAAATGCTAAATGTTGTCTTGGTAACTAGCTGAAATAAAACAAGTTTTTAATATTTTATTTCAGTTAATTTTTATTTTATTTCAAAGTTTTTTTATGGGTTTAGTTAATGATAATAACTGAACGACCCTCCATTAACCCAACGTCCTCTTTTAGTAAGAAATATGTCAAAACAAGAAAGTAATTTGCACTCATTGTATGAGTTTTTCAAACGTATGAAGCTAAACGTAAATTTAGGTGTTTTTAAGCCCATAAAGTATCTCAGACAAACATGTTTCTTTAAACACAAGCAGATCTCTCTCATTTGTCATCGCAAACTCTCTCTGTCATTATCAGACTGATGCACATGAGCTGCATTTATTGCATTGTGCTTTATATTCAAGGTTGAAATAGACCCATGGTTTGATTAAATCAGCGGATGAATGTGGTTCTTCTGATTTGGCTGCAGCGACAAACACATTTACTGACCAACAAAGAGAAAAAAACATGGAACCTGAAATTAATTAAATGAGAAACACAAATGATTTCCTGTATGTTTCCTACTGAAACAGGAAGTTAAGGATTCCGGCCCCATCCCTGAGCAGGAAATGATGTCATCAGTATTCTGTACATTTTTAATATCTATATCTGCTGCTTTATTTTATTTGATCAGTGCACACTTTCAGTTGTACACAAGCATATTGATGAGCTCAAAACTATAGACAACAATGAAATGTTATGTTTAAATATGAAATGAGGTATCATCTAATCTAATTTCCAGAACATAAATCTGAACATTGGATAAAGCAAGGTTCAGAATTCTCATTTGATTTTGGTGACATATTAGAGTTAAAGGTTTTTACTGGGGTGATTTTGGATTTCTCTTTTTACATTTACATTTAATCATTTAGCAAACGCTTTTATCCAAAGCGACTTACAAACGAGAAGAACAATAGAAGCAATCAGACCAACAAGAGAGCAACAGTATACAAGTGATGTGACTAGTTAGTCTAGCACAGTACACATAGCAAGTCTTATTTTTAAATAAATTAGAAAAAAAAAGTGGCTAAAGACTCAGCTGCTCACATTGAGAGAGGCATATTGTTCCAGCAGCTGGGAACAGTCCAGGAAAAGGTCAATGAGAGTGATTTTGTGCCTTTTTGGGATGGCACCACGAGGCATTGTTCACTTGTAGAATGCAAGCCTCTGGAGGGCGCATAAGTCTGAACAAGCAAGTTTAGGTATATTGGTGCAGCACTAGTGGTTGTCTTGTAGGCAAACATCAGTACCTTGAATTTGATGCGAGCTGCTATTGGCAGCCAGTGCAAACTGATGAAGAGAGATGTGACATGTGCTCTCTTCGGCTCGTTGAAGACCACTCTGGCTGCTGCATTCTGGATCAGTTGCAGAGGCTTGATAGTACATGCGGGAAGGCCCGCCAAGAGAGCATTACAATAGTCCCAGGACCGCGTCGTTATAGCAATATGGTCTGTGAAGCTTAACTGATCATCAATCACAATTCCAAGGTTCTTGGCTGTCCTGGAAGGAGATATGGTTGACGAACCTATCTGTATTGAGAAGTTGTGATGAAGTGCTGGGTTGGCTGAGACCACGAGCAGTTCTGTCTTAGCAAGGTTGAGTTGAAGGTGATGGTCCTTCATCCAGCCAGAGATGTCTGTCAGACAGGCTGCAATGCAAACAGCTACCATCGGATGGAATGAGAAGAGTTGAGTGTCATCAGCATAGCAGTGACAGGAAAAGCCATGCTTCTGAATGACAGATCCTAATGATGACATATAGATGGAGAAGAGAAGCGGTCCAAGCACTGAGCCTTGGGGAACCCCATTAGCAAGAAGTTGTGACTTAGAAACCTCACCCCTCCAAGACACCCTGAAGGACCTGCCAGAGAGGTAAGACTTGACCACTGGAGTGCGGCTCCTGAGATGCCCATCGACATGAGGGTGGACAGGAGAATCTGGTGGTTAACGGTGTCAAAAGCAGCAGACAGATCCAGCAAGATGAGTACTGAGGATTTGGAAGCTGCTCTTGCCAGTCTCAGGGCTTCAGTAACCGAGAGCAGGGCAGTCTCAGTTGAGTGGCCACTTTTGAAGCCAGATTGGTTGTTGTCCAGGAGGTTGTTCTGTGCAAGAAACATAGAGAGTTGGTTGAACACAACTCGCTCAAGTGTCTTTGCAATGAATGGAAGAAGGGATACCGGTCTGTAGTTTTCTTGTAGGGTTTCTTAAGCAGTGGGGTTACCCGAGCCTGCTTAAATGCTGTAGGAAATGTACCAGTGTGAAGAGAGGCGTTGATAATGTGAGTGAGCGCAGGTATAACTGAAGAAGAAATGGCCTGAAGGAGGCAGGTGGGAATAGGATCAAGAGGACAGGTAGTAGGATGATTGTAAAGGATAAGTTTGGAAACGTCTGCCTCCGAGAGTGGAGAGGAGGAGGAGAGAGAGTGTGTATTTGTTGTTATGATGTGTTTGTCAGTTTGTGGTGTGGAGAATTGGCCGCTGATTGTTCTTGTTTTATTTATGAAGAATATTGCAAAGTCGTCAGCTGTAAGAGTTGATGAAGGAGGAGGAGGGGGGGGGAGGAGAAAGAAGAGAAGAGAAGGTTTTGAAAAATGTGCGAGAGTCAGAACAATTGTTAATTTGGTTGTGGTAGTATGTTTTTTATCACTCCATAAATCAGAAAATACTGCCAACAGACAACAGACAGATAACAAATACATTTTCATCATGTTTTTAGGAGTAAAATGTTGTATAAATCAGTGTGAATGATATATGAGCAAACCCCTCAGTAAAAACCTTCAGAATATAGAGAGGAATAAAACTCTAAGTTTTGGTGTTTGTAAGTGCTGCTGAAATGGAGATAAAGACTCATTGCCTTCAAAGATATGCATTTTCACCATGTTTTTAGGAGTAAAATGTTGTATAAATCAGTGTGAATGATATATGAACAAACCCCTCAGTAAAAACCTTCAGAATATAGAGAGGAATAAAACTCTAAGTTTTGGTGTTTGTAAGTGCTGCTGAAATGGAGATAAAGACTCATTGCCTTCAAAGATATGCATTTTCACCATGTTTTTAGGAGTAAAATGTTGTATAAATCAGTGTGAATGATATATGAACAAACCCCTCAGTAAAAACCTTCAGAATATAGAGAGGAATAAAACTAAGTTTTGGTGTAAGTAAGTGTTACTAAAGTGGAGAAATGTTTTTTTAAAGATAGATAAAGTGCAATAGAATAAACACTCGATGTGTATTTTCATTGTTCTCTTTCCACTCGTCTGCATGAAGACATGTTATGAAGCGAAATAGATCAAAATCTCTGAATTGAGCAGTGCATGAAGTGTAGTGTCTTGCCTCAAACCATCTTCTGTATGACCTTTGACCTTTGGTTGATCTCAGGTGCGGCGACACACAAACCCAACGCGGTGGAGCCGGAGAAACAGACCGACCACACGGTGAAGATCGCCGGCGTCATCGCAGGAATACTGCTCTTCGTCATCATCTTCCTCGGCGTGGTGCTGCTCATGAAGAAACGGTAAGAACCTCAACACACACAGTGAAGATGATCGGTTACACAATTTTTACCACATTTAAGGATGACAACACACATCAGAAAGCGCCGCCGTTAACCAAAGTTTGGACACACGTGACTCAGTTTATGTTAAGAACTTTTCATCTAAAGACCTCTGCTTAAATGTGGGAAATTACACTCAAAACATACGGCATTTAGGCCTAAATTTAAGTTTTATTCATTTGAACTGCATTTAAATTTTCTATTCATTCAGATTACACAGTTTTAACATAAATACTTTTACTTATAAACTTAATCTGATGCTTGTTGATATTTGTCAGTCATACATTATTGAAAGAGGGCAAGTTTCTGTAATAGTGCTAATAATCTGAATGTGTTTTAAATACACAATAACTAGGTTTATATATTTAACATAAAATAATTGATGATATCATTCAATCTCATACATTTGAACCGATTCAATATTGCTTGTTCCAGAGCAAGTCATATTTTCAACAATTTCCATGCAAAAACCATGTTTTTACTTTTTTTTTTAATGAATAAATATTGTTTTCACAATGAAAAGATTTATGCATAAATAAATGCATTTTAAAAATATGATTTTTAAATAAAATCAAATTGATGCAAATAATTAATAATGAATTATGCCATTCATTTTTGGAATGCAGTGTTTCATATGTAGTTTCATATGTTTTGATCTGCATATACATTAGTGTTAGATTTCCGTTCATACATTTGGCTGATGCTTTTATCCAAAACTAATTTTCAATGCATGAACTCCCTAGAAATCCAACAGGAAGAAACTCTGCTATTTCAGTGTCCTGTGACTATTATTCTAACCTGGACATTAATATTAAATAGGAATGAGCAGATGTGTCCAAACTTTTGTCTCATCCGCAGTCAGATCAGGACTTTGTGTTTTTGTCTGGAGTTTAACCGCAGATATTAATAATAGATTTTCCTTCCGATTTACGCCTGGCCTTTCATCCGCATTGTCTATGCAACACTGAATTATTAATCTAATTATGTTGATAAGCCTGGTTAAAATGCTGTATAATAGCCTGATAAAGAGCCGTTCTCCCGATGACCCTGCATCTCAAAAAGAAGAGGGAATCTCAGTAGATCTGTGATTGTGTGACTGATGAAAGTGCGTCGTTAGCTGGAGCCTAGTTTACATTAGCTGCCCGCAGATCAAGGGTCATCCGGAGTCAGTTTCGGCAAATATCCAGCTCGCACACTTGCTCCAGATTAGCCTTCTGCCCTGCTGAATATAAAACAGCCCAATCCAGAAAACTTTAGAGCCACTACAGTAAATATAATAGTCATTTACAGTCATGAATTTGAACTATATACCGTTTATAGACAGTGCAACTCACACACGTCTATCTAAACATCTGTGGTGAATGTGAGCACACACAGTTTTGTCTGTTGTCATCAAACCAGCTATAATTGCAGGTTTATTATTGCTGCTTTCTTGTAATTCTATTTCCATTTATTTATTTAATCAGGGAAAATACACATTAGTAATATATGAAATCAATGTGTCAGGGTGACTAATTTTGATCTGTAATCCCAGGGCAGATTTTTTTTAAAAATCGATACATAAATACAAAATATTTAACACTAAAATCCCTATAAATGTTCACAATTTTGATTTGACAACAACCAATGTTTTAATTTTTTGGAGAAACAATGACTTTATAAATCTTTTAATTTTGGTACTTGTTCTTTAAGTTACACCTGAATCTACAGAGTGTTATTTTAATATAATTCAGATAGTATGATAGCTTTTATTAATATTTTGAATTTGTTTTTTATTTTTATATTTTCCAAATGTTTGTTAAAATGTTTGTTTTTGTGAATGATATATGAACAAACCCCTCAGTAAAAACCTTCAGAATATAGAGAGGAATAAAACTCTAAGTTTTGGTGTTTGTAAGTGCTGCTGAAATGGAGATAAAGACTCATTGCCTTCAAAGATATGCATTTTCACCATGTTTTTAGGAGTAAAATGTTGTATAAATCATTGTGAATGATATATGAACAAACCCCTCAGTAAAAACCTTCAGAATATAGAGAGGAATAAAACTAAGTTTTGGTGTAAGTAAGTGTTACTAAAGTGGAGAAATGTTTTTTTAAAGATAGATAAAGTGCAATAGAATAAACACTCGATGTGTATTTTCATTGTTCTCTTTCCACTCGTCTGCATGAAGACATGTTATGAAGCGAAATAGATCAAAATCTCTGAATTGAGCAGTGCATGAAGTGTAGTGTCTTGCCTCAAACCATCTTCTGTATGACCTTTGACCTTTGGTTGATCTCAGGTGCGGCGACACACAAACCCAACGCGGTGGAGCCGGAGAAACAGACCGACCACACGGTGAAGATCGCCGGCGTCATCGCAGGAATACTGCTCTTCGTCATCATCTTCCTCGGCGTGGTGCTGCTCATGAAGAAACGGTAAAACGGTAAGAACCTCAACACACACAGTGAAGATGATCGGTTACACAATTTTTACCACATTTAAGGATGACAACACACATCAGAAAGCGCCGCCGTTAACCAAAGTTTGGACACACGTGACTCAGTTTATGTTAAGAACTTTTCATCTAAAGACCTCTGCTTAAATGTGGGAAATTACACTCAAAACATACGGCATTTAGGCCTAAATTTAAGTTTTATTCATTTGAACTGCATTTAAATTTTCTATTCATTCAGATTACACAGTTTTAACATAAATACTTTTACTTATAAACTTAATCTGATGCTTGTTGATATTTGTCAGTCATACATTATTGAAAGAGGGCAAGTTTCTGTAATAGTGCTAATAATCTGAATGTGTTTTAAATACACAATAACTAGGTTTATATATTTAACATAAAATAATTGATGATATCATTCAATCTCATACATTTGAACCGATTCAATATTGCTTGTTCCAGAGCAAGTCATATTTTCAACAATTTCCATGCAAAAACCATGTTTTTACTTTTTTTTTTAATGAATAAATATTGTTTTCACAATGAAAAGATTTATGCATAAATAAATGCATTTTAAAAATATGATTTTTAAATAAAATCAAATTGATGCAAATAATTAATAATGAATTATGCCATTCATTTTTGGAATGCAGTGTTTCATATGTAGTTTCATATGTTTTGATCTGCATATACATTAGTGTTAGATTTCCGTTCATACATTTGGCTGATGCTTTTATCCAAAACTAATTTTCAATGCATGAACTCCCTAGAAATCCAACAGGAAGAAACTCTGCTATTTCAGTGTCCTGTGACTATTATTCTAACCTGGACATTAATATTAAATAGGAATGAGCAGATGTGTCCAAACTTTTGTCTCATCCGCAGTCAGATCAGGACTTTGTGTTTTTGTCTGGAGTTTAACCGCAGATATTAATAATAGATTTTCCTTCCGATTTACGCCTGGCCTTTCATCCGCATTGTCTATGCAACACTGAATTATTAATCTAATTATGTTGATAAGCCTGGTTAAAATGCTGTATAATAGCCTGATAAAGAGCCGTTCTCCCGATGACCCTGCATCTCAAAAAGAAGAGGGAATCTCAGTAGATCTGTGATTGTGTGACTGATGAAAGTGCGTCGTTAGCTGGAGCCTAGTTTACATTAGCTGCCCGCAGATCAAGGGTCATCCGGAGTCAGTTTCGGCAAATATCCAGCTCGCACACTTGCTCCAGATTAGCCTTCTGCCCTGCTGAATATAAAACAGCCCAATCCAGAAAACTTTAGAGCCACTACAGTAAATATAATAGTCATTTACAGTCATGAATTTGAACTATATACCGTTTATAGACAGTGCAACTCACACACGTCTATCTAAACATCTGTGGTGAATGTGAGCACACACAGTTTTGTCTGTTGTCATCAAACCAGCTATAATTGCAGGTTTATTATTGCTGCTTTCTTGTAATTCTATTTCCATTTATTTATTTAATCAGGGAAAATACACATTAGTAATATATGAAATCAATGTGTCAGGGTGACTAATTTTGATCTGTAATCCCAGGGCAGATTTTTTTTAAAAATCGATACATAAATACAAAATATTTAACACTAAAATCCCTATAAATGTTCACAATTTTGATTTGACAACAACCAATGTTTTAATTTTTTGGAGAAACAATGACTTTATAAATCTTTTAATTTTGGTACTTGTTCTTTAAGTTACACCTGAATCTACAGAGTGTTATTTTAATATAATTCAGATAGTATGATAGCTTTTATTAATATTTTGAATTTGTTTTTTATTTTTATATTTTCCAAATGTTTGTTAAAATGTTTGTTTTGCCATTTCTTGTTTTTTAAAAATAGTCCATACAGTTTTTGTTAATTTTTATTTCAGTTTTAGTTTTAGTTATTTTAGTACTTCAAGTGAAACTAATTAAAATTAGAACAGTTGCCTTGGAAACTAGCTGAAATAAAATAAGTTTAAGTTTTTTGTATTTGATTTTATTTCAGTTAATGTTAATTTTAAATTAGGGCTGCAACAACTAATCAATAAAGTCGATTATAATTGATAATAAAAAATTATTTACAACAAATTTGATTATCAGTTAATCACTTCTGTGTGCTGTGAAGAAAAACAGAGATTTTTAATACTGGAGTAAAATTAATTTTTTTTATTAAGATTATTACATTTTAATAGTTAATAATATTTGGATTTGTGTCCGATTAATCAAAGAAATAATTGACAGATTAATCGATTATCAAAATGATTATTAGTTGCAGCCCTATTTTTAAATAACAAAATTTATTTTTAAAGTTTTAATTTTAGTTCCAAACTAAAAGATGCAATATTTGCAAGGAATATTTGGAAATGTGTAATTCCTACTGGCACAAATGATATACTCGTAAATACTCGTGATGTTGTTGTGAAGCATCTGATATGTGGTCGTTTGCACGGTTTCTGTGTGTATGAATGTGAATAAAGCAGTGGTTCTCAACCCTGGGGAAAACTTTGCATTATTTAAATGCAGTTATATTAACATAATATTCATTGAAATGCTATTAAAACATTCTAACATCATTTTGGCGTTTATTTGTATCTTTTAAGGAGTGAAAGAGGCTGAGAAGCGCTGCTCTAGAGTCGTTTGCATGAAGAGACGGGTTTATTTCACACACGCGTGTCCAATAATCCCAAACACCGGATTCATCAGATTTCCCTCCCGGAGAGATGAGCGCTGATCACTCCGCAGACATTTTAATTGAATCCCGTTCAATATGCTTTAATCAGATGAACGAGCGCGATTGAATCTCTCGCATCTATTTGGTTTAATTTGCTGAATTAGATTAGAACGTGAGGAGAACATGCTAATTCCTCATTTAAGGCCGAGAGCACGCTCTGGACGCTGCATCTGGTCATTTAGAGCGCAAATGTTTTTATAGTCCTCTAATTACATCCTGAAAAATGAGGAGATGCATTGAAGAAGGGGAATTAATGTTGGTTTTATTGCTAATGTGCAGTGATGTATCTGTGCTCTGACTGACCTTTCACACACGACATCGTCCTCATAAAGACTTATTAATGCACATATGAATTCTCACAGAGAGATTATAGATGCAGAGCAGATACAGCTGTTATACACTACCAGTCCAAAGTAAGAAAGAAGTCTCCTCTGCTCACTAAGGCTGCATTTATTTGATCAAAAATACAGTTAAATTGTGAAATATTATTAGAATTTAAAGCAGCTGTTTTCTATGTGAATATCTGTTAAACTGTATTATTTCTGTGATGCGCAGCTGTATTTTCAGCATCATTACTCCAGTCTTCAGTGTCACATGATCTTCAGAAATCATTCTAATATGCTGATTTATTAGAAACATTTCTGATTATTATCAATGTTGAAAACAGTTGTGCTGCTTGCATTCAAAAGTTTGAAGCGGGTAAGATTGAATAGAAATTAATACTTTTATTCAGCAAGGCTGCATTAAACTGATAAAAAGTGACAGTAAAGACATTTATAACGTTACAGAAAATTTCTATTTCAAATAAATGCTGTTCTTCTGAACTTTCTATTCATCTGTGAATCCTGAAAAAAAAAATGTGCCACAGTTTCCACAAAAATATTAATGTTTTCAACATTGATAATAATCAGAAATGTTTCTCGAGCAGCAAATCAGCATATTAGAATGATTTCTGAAGATCATGTGACACTGAAGACTGGAGTAATGATGCTGAAAATACAGCTGCGTATCACAGAAATACATTACATTTTAACAGAGATTCACATAGAAACAGCTTTTTTAGATTCTAATAATGTTTCACAATTTTTACTGCATTTTTGATCAAATAAACGCAGCCTTGATACTCTTTCAGAAACATTCAACTGATTCCAGACTTGTGAGCAGTAGTTGTTAATTCACCCAGACGAAAACAAACACATATATGAATGTATATAAGTCATGTGACCCTCTGGTTGGTCATGTGGTCAGCGTTTGCGCAGTGACCGCCGCGCATCTCTCTTTCTCTCTCTCTCTCTCACGAATGCCACCATGTCTGCTTCTGTTCATTTTCTATCGTTTCAGAACATTAATATATTTTACTTTTTCTTTCCTTCCATCTTCATCCCCCTCCACTGCTTAAACCCCTCCACCACCTCACTGGGCAGGAGAACCTATCAGTCCTACACTTACTACCTGTGAGTAAAACACCTTTGTACACTGTTAGTGCCATGCTATGCTCGACCTGCATGACGCGCCGGTTACGATTGGCTCCGGCGCCTCGAGGGCACGAGAGTTAACATTCGGCTGTGCATTTCAATCAGAAAGTGTTATCTGTAATTGTTATGATCATGAGCTGGATATTGCTAACGCCGTCTTGAAGTTGTGATGTGATTCTCCATCATCTGCTGTCCAATGCTTGTCTGTGAATGCTGTAGCTCCTCCAATCAGAGCCTTGGTTTGATTACTGAGGATTCATTTACAGTCCATGTGATTTTGTACTTTCCCAAGGAAACTTCTCCTTGTCTTTCTGTTGCCCAGCTCAGGGAAGGGAAGCGTGCTTTTCCTTAAACACCTGGAATTACCCTTCATCTCATAAATCATCATCATCATCATCATTATTAATCGCAGTCATCGCAGTTTTCCTGCATGGTTGGTGCTTGCTGCATGAAGTCGAATGAAGTCCATCAGCCTCATGTCCTGATGTTTTCCTGGATGCTTGATCTGTGCTGGTTTTTGTTTGTTTGTTTGTCATGCGGAGCTGTTTGCTTATTTATATGAGTGGGAATCAACAATTGGGTTTTGTTCAGACCAGATGCATTTATTAGAAAAGTACTGGAACCAATTGAAAATACTCTTACAGTGTTTCCCGCACTATGGGAAATAAATAGTTTTAGCTCATTTGTGAGATTGATTGTAACCTCGAGTTTGCATTTTCATTTCATTCATTTTTATTAGTTTTTTTTTTTTATGTTGAATTTATTTTTTATTTCAGTTTTAGTTTTAGTAATTTTAGTACTTCAACTTCAACTTTATTTGAGTTACTGCCAGGACATTATAATTTTTTTAAGCTTTTTATTTAATCTATTCATATTTTATTTTATTTATTAAAATATTTTTGTAATATATTTTCATTTTAATTTTACTTCAAATTTGATTAATTGTGTGTTTTTCCTCTTTTTATTAGTTTTTTTTAATTATTATATTTCTATTTATCTTTTTTCAGTTTTAGTAATTTTTTATTAAATTAAAATACATTTTTTTATTCATTCATTCATTCATTCATATACTGTATATATTTCATTTTAATTTTATGTGCTTTTATCTTTTTTTTTTCCTTCATATTTTATCTTTATTTTTTATTTCCGTTTTAGTTTTAGTAATTTTAGCACTTCAGCTTAATCTTATTTTATTTCAATTAATGCCAGGACAACATTTGATTTTTGTTTAGGTTTTAGTTTATTATTAATCTAATATTTATATTTTATTTCACCTTTATTTGTATTAACAAAAAATGTTTTTAATAGTTTCAGTTTATAACACAGTGTCTGATTACAGAATCAATAACTCTTATAAACCATTTTATTTTAAATAAATGTGTGAAAAGGGACATAGAGACATAGAGAGAGAGAGAGACGAATAATTTGTCAACACATTCACATGTTCATGGTTCTCTGATGTCAACATGCAGATAAACAAATCAAGTATTGTTTGTTTTGTTTAACTTTATTTATCCAGTCAAGTCGGTTATTTATTATATTATTTTAATTATTAAATTTTTTTATTTTGTATTTTAATTTTACATTTGAATGATTTTATTAATTATTAGCTTTTCATTAACTATCAATTAATTAAAAAATGAGAAATTTTTATTTTTATACTTTCATTTAATTTTAATTAGTTTTAGTAATTTTGTTGTGTTTTTGATTTGTTTGTTTGTTTGTTTTTTAAATGTCTATATAGTTATTTTTATTATTATTGTTTTAGTTTCAGTTTTTGTTATTTTAGTACATTAAAATGTGAATTAACTAAAGTTAAAATAAAATAATACATAAAATAAAAATAATAATAAATAAAATGTGTAATTCTTTTTTTAAATACTAAATAAAATGGTAAATAAAAAATAATAATTTATTTGATTTCAGTTAATGCTTATTTTAAGTGAGGTTTTTTTTCTGTGGTTTTATGTTTTAGTTCAGTTAGGGTCACATGGATTATTAGTTAATGTTAATATGAACAGCTGTTAGTTAATTCTAACGGTTATGAGTTAATAGGTTCATGCTGAGGTTAAACTCCTTTAAATCTCTAGTCTAGTCGTAATCTTTGTGGAATTGCTGTATTAAAGTGTGGGATTGTTTGGTGTGTTCTGATTCTATATTGTCTCTGGTTTAATTGTAGTTTAGTGTCGTGTCGTGTGTCTTTAGTCTCTGCTGGCTCTCGCTCATGTACTGATCCCAGACCAGCGGCGTAGCACGCATCCCACAATTCCCCACTGTTCCCCGTATCCGAGCGGCTCTAATGAAGACGCGTGTGTTGCGGGACGCTCGTGTTAAACACCTACAACAGCCGCGCTCGTGTGTGAGAACACAATTCCCAGCATGCCATGCAGTTTCATCTGTGGTGTGCGTCACACTTTGAAGGATCTTTCCTCTGCTGGACGCAGTCAATTAAGACACACAAACACACACATGTGCACACACAGTGATGTGTGTATGTGTGTGTGTTTGTTTGTGTGTTTGAAATAGAAAAATAATTTAACTTTACACTTGTAAGACCTTAAAATATAAAGCTGAAGTTCAAATACACTGTAAAAAATTATGCTGGGTTAAAAAAAAATAATTTTTGGGTTATTTGACAACCCAGCGCTGGTTAAATATACACATGCCGGGTTATTTTGACCCAGCTGGTGGCATTAAACGTTTCACCCAACATGCTGGGTTGTTTTATTTTACTCAACTATTGTTTAAAAGTGACTGTATTGCTGACTTAAAATGGGTTGGAAATTAGAAATCACACAGAATTACTAGAGGCAACCGTAATAATCAAAAGGTGAACGTTTATTAATAAGCAAGAACACCCATGGACAAAAATATAAAACAAATTGAATTTATTTGGATGAATACAGTTTACAATATTACACACCAGAACCAGTGGGGAGAAAGGTGGTGATGATTTTAGGGGCGATTTCATCCGACTGCTCGAGGCCAGCATGAAGGACAGAAGCGCGTCGTCACGAAAGCTTATTGTTTGCATGTGTGTTTGCCAATTTAAACATTCAAGAGATTTTAAAGCATTCAAGCACAAGAAGACATGAAATAACTGAACTGACTGTAGTCTCAGACAAACATCGACTTTAGCTCTCTTTCACATCTTCATGTGCTTGAACAAGCAAATACACCTCGCCAATTTAAAAATGCAAGCACAAAAACACACAAAAGAGACGAATTCAGCATTCTGTGTCCGTTTCACAGCCCGTTAACACTGAATTGAGTTTAGCGTCATCTTGCACTTGAACGGACAAATGCATACGAAATTATGTTGGAATAGCCGTCTTGGCGAGTATCCTCAGAAAATGTCTCAAGGTTACATATGTGACCCTAGTTCCCAGAGGGAACTATGTAACCCTAGTTCCTGCGTCGAACGCTTTGGGAACGCCTTCAGCGAGACTATGCTCTGAATCGTGTGTGTAATCAGACCAATGGATGGGCGCGATGTCACAGACGGGGTGACGTGTGACCAGGAAGCTATAAATGCACGTGAGGTGGAGACAGCGGCAGCTTCTGGAGAATGAGGGAAGCGCTCCCAGGGGTGCCGGAAGTATTGCAGGAGACGCAGCGCCTCGTTCCCTCTAAAAAACTAAAAAGTGACGTGACATGTGGCCAAGTATGATGACCCATACTCGGAATTAGTGCTCTGCATTTATCCCATCCAAAGTGCACACACACAGCAGTGAACACACACACACCGTGAACACACACCCGGAGCAGTGGGCAGCCATTTTTTTGCTGTGGCGCCCAGGGAGCAGTTGGGGGTTCGGTGCCTTGCTCAAGGGCACCTCAGTCGTGGTATTGAAGGTGGGAGAGAGCGCTGCACATTCACTCCCCCCACCTACAATCCCTGCCGGTACGAGACTCGAACCCGCAACATTTGGGTTACGAGTCCAACTCTCTAACCATTAGGCCACGACTTCCCTGTAACTAGGGTTACATACGTAACCTTGAGATGTTCCCCTTCAGGAACTCGAGCTGCGTCGAGCGCTTTGGGAACGAGATGCCCACGCCGCCAGACTTTCAAGTCCCTGCTTAGTGTGTACGACTTCAGCACAACTACGGCAAGAGGACGGAGGAACCAGGAGCGGTACGAATGTCGAGGTTGTAGAACCTGATGAATGTGAGCGGCGTGGACCAGCCCGCAGCGTTACATATATCCTGCATAGCCACACCCGACAGGAAGGCCTTAGAGGCCGCCACACTTCGGATGGAGTGAGCCTTGACCCCTAAGGGTGAGGGAAGGCCAGAGGACTCATATGAAATAGTAATGGCATCAACAATCCACCTACTGAGGGTCTGCTTAGTGGCAGGCAGACCCCTCTTGGAAGGACCATAACAAACAAATAATTGGTCAGACTTCCTCCACATGGCAACTCTGTAGACATATGTGTGGACACATGCAATTTAGCTTCTACTGGTCAGGTTCCCTAAAGGGGGGAGGACAGAAAGCCTGAAGTACGACGGGCCATGGTACTGAGGAGGGCACTTTAGGGACGTACCCTGTCCTGGGGTACAGAAAAGCTTTGGCCAAGCCGGGCGCAAAGTCTAGGAAGGAGGGGGCCACTGACAAGGCCTGCAAATCTCAGACTCTCTTCAGTGAAGTGATGGCTAACAAGGGGAGGCCTCAGCCTCAGCGCACCGCGGAGGAAACGTGTAACCAGGGTGTGTCTTCCCACAGACTGACTACCGAGAGGGGCATGGTAAGCAGTTATAGCCGCCACGTACACCTTCAGGGTGGAGTGGGTCAACCCTGCAGAGAATCTAGCCTGCAAGAACTCTAGCACTGAACCGACCAGGCAGTTAACTGGGTCAAGTTGGCGATCTCTACACCAGGAAGTGAAGAGTTCCACTTCAGGGCATACAGTTTCCTTGTTGAGGGAGCTCTGGATTGGAGGATGGTCTCAACAACCTCAGTTGAGAGACTGGAAGCTACGAGCTGTGCTCCCTCAGATGCCACAACCTTAGTTTCTATAACTCTACTCTCTCCAGAACTCCCGGGAGCAGAACGATCGGGGGAAAAGTGTACAGACAAAGCCTCGGCCAAGTCTGTATCTTGGCAGCCCCATTGGAGCTGGATGAGTCAGAGAGAACCAGATGGGACATTGGTCCACCTGAGCCTGGCCAAAAACTCTCCATATCTGCTTCACCACCTCGGGGTGAAGCATCCATTCCCCGTGCCTCGGCCCCTGCCTCGACAGGATGTCTGCTCCCATATTGAGATGCCCAGGGATGTAAACGGCTCTTAGAGAAAGGAGCTTCCCTTGGGCCTACACAAGGATCTGGTGCACCAGCTTGTTCAAGGTGCGCTAACGCATGACCTTGATCATGCGAAGCGGATTTCCCCTCGGGGAAAACCCCTTGGTCTTCAGCCACCACTGTAGGGGTCTCATGTACAGCAGGTCAAAAGGTATCACATTGGACGCAGCTGCCATCAGACCCAGCAGTCTTTGAAACTGCTTGACAGTGAGTGATCGGCCTTCTTTGACTCTCGCAACTGCAGTGAGGATCGACTCGATCCGAGCAGGAGACAGCTGTGCCTGCATCGTGGTCGAATCCCACACCATGCCTAGATAAGTGGTCCTCTGTAATGGAGAAAGCACACTTTTCTTTGCGTTTAGTCTTAACCCCAACTCTTTCATATGGGCGAGAACGACATCTCGATGTCAAACCACCGTCTGCTCTGACTGAGCCAGAATCAACCAATCATCGATATAATTTAGTATGCAGATGCCTTGGAGTCGCAGTGGAGCCAGAGCAGCATCCACACACTTCGTGAATGTGCAGGGTGAGAGTGCAAGGCCGAACAGAAGAACCCGATATTGGTAAGCTTCGCCCTCGAAAGCAAACCTCAGGAACTTCCTGTGTTGAGGAAAGATGGAGACATGGAAATATGCATCTTTTAGATCTATCGTTACAAACCAGTCCTTGGACCTGATCTGAGACACGACCTGTTTGATAGTGAGCATCTTGAACTTTAGTCGCATGACTGAGTGATTCAACTGACGCAGATCTAAAATCGGACGCAACCCCCCATCCTTCTTCGGTACAATGACGTACCGGCTGTAGAACCCGGATTCTCTTTCGAGAGGAGGGACCACCTCGATGGCCTCCTTCCTCAGCAGAGTATTTACCTCTTGTTCTAACACCGGAGCCTGCTCGGGACCCACCACCGTGGAAACGATCCCGTTGAAACGAGGCAGAGGAGAACCAAACTGAATTCTGTAACCTCTTTCTACAGTCCTGAAGCACCGGCGGTGGCAGGGTTAACAGCTCGGCCTCCTGAGGGCACTGAGGAGAGACGGGCACCGTATTCTTCGACCGTGAGCGTAGCTCCCTTCGCGATCCCCGTTCGCGTGGGGGCGTGCGAGTCGCGACACTCACTTTCTGCGCCTCTCTGTATGAGGAGCGGGCACACGGCTGAGCTAGAGAGTGGCGATGGAGGAACCGCTGAAACGCCGCCGCCGAGCCTCCTGAAACCTGTCGACGTCGGAATTGACGGCGTCGCCGAACAGGCCAGAAGGCGCAAACGGGGCGTTAAGCAGGAAGACCCTGTCCTTCTCTTTGATGTCGGACAGGGTCAACCACAAATGCCTCTCTGCGGCCACCAAGGCTGCCATCGACCGCCCGATAGCTTTGGCGGTCTCTTTCGTGGTGTGGAGAGACAAATCAGCGGTTCGCCAGAGTTCGCTAATATCATCGGCTTTAACTTCCTCACTCTCATCTAACTCTTTAAGCAGGTCTGCTTGATACGCCTGAAGAACAGCCATCGTGTGAAGGCAAGACCAGCCTGACCTGCTGCCGTGTATCCTTTGCCCACCAGTGCTGAAGCGGTACGAAGCGGCTTGGTGGGCAGTGCCGGGGCTTTAAGGGACGACGCCACACCGGGAGACAGATAGCTCGCGAGCGTCCGTTCAATCCGGGGCATCACCCTATAACAGCACTCAGTTAATCCTGTGACGTTAGAATAATCAACCAGAGACGGACTAAAGAGGCGGGCCGAGTATGGTTTCCACCTCAGTGTGGAGATCGGGAAAAAACGGCAAGCCCCGGCGTGGAGGGAGCGGCTTAGTCCGTAAAAAACGTTCATCTAATTTGCTTTTAACGGGTTCTGCCTGCTTCTCGGCGGGCCATTCGATATTTAATTTGGCCACGGCGTGCTTCGCTCCCAGACATAAAACACAAAGGCTGTGTGTATCCCTGCCCGTGATGTAGCGAGGGCAGGGAGGAACACACAACCTAAACTGCTGTTTGCCTTTATCATCCCCTTTATTTGTCTTGTGCTTAGACTTTGGCATTGCTTTATCGTTTGCCAAAGTGACAGACAACAGTAAATAGGACATACACACACAGAGTGCTTCGCTGAATGACAGAAGCTGCCGCTGTCTCCACCTCACGTGCTTTTATAGCTTCCTGGTCACACATCACCCCATCCGTGACGTCGTGCCCATCTATTGGTCTGATTACACACACGATTCAAAGCATAGTCTCGCTGAAGGCGTTCCCAAAGCGTTCGACGCAGCTCGAGTTCCTGAAAGGGAACTGTTGGTTACGTCTTACGTGAACGACAGATGTGTGTCATTATATGGGATCCATGCATTGTGTCTTAAAGTGACAGCGCCTAATTTACAAGCTGCTGTCTCTGTCCTGCTCTTGACTGAATTACTTCAGAATTAATCTATATTTAATTCATACAGTGAAGACTATGCCATGCTATTTTACATTTGATTATTTGGATTCTGTACCTGAACACCTACAAACCTGAAAAAATCAAATCGTTGTTTAATTTGTATCTTTGTTCTGTTTATTTATTTGTGCAATTTGCACGATTTCAAACAAGGCCCTCAGGTACAACCTGCACTTGGGCCAGCAAACCCCAGCTTACATTTAAACTCATATAACAAGCGTTTTAGAAATAAAAAGCATAACATTTAAGAGAAACATTTTAATTCAACTCTTCTCTGTAACCCTGGAAAAAAACAGCCCAACATAATGACCCAACAGGCTCAACCCAGCATTCTTTAGACTGTGCTGTTTCAGTCTTTCTATATCACTTCCAACATTGATTCTTTGTAACGATTTGTGAAATTTACCAGTGATTTCTGAGTGTAAACTGTTTAGTGTGGGAGCGGAATCTAAATCTGTCTGCTGAGTGGAGATTGAGTTTTCCCTCAGATGTTCCTGCGGAGGAGCTGAACTTTGTCCTGATGGAATATGGCGTGTTGTTTAGCGAGGCTAATCTCATGGCGGTGTAACCCGTTCGCTCTGCTCATCACTCATGACTTCTGCTGATGTTCAAGCTTTAATGGAGTTTGTAGTTTGTAGAAACTTGGTGCATCTGCTTACTTTGTGGTTTGGCTCCGTTTCCAAGATCTCATTGGAAATTACCTGCGGATCCGCTTTGGGAAGTCTAGCCTCAGGCGAGGAACCACACGCTAATTTCCCTCCCACGGATTGGCTGAGTACTTTGGCCTCATTTGCATTTGCGGATCGTTAGCAGATGAAGGCAGGTTAACTGAATTAAAGCAGAACTCCATTATTCTCTAACATCTGCTCTGGCGTTGAGATGTGTGTTGGAGAACACGCGTGTGCGGCTGTAATCACGGAGAGCCGGCGCTCCTCGAAGCTCTTGGTGGGGCGTTGATTAGAATTATATCACGGTTTAATTGGGAGGGTGACTCCGGCATCTTAATCAGGCCCTGCTCATTAAAATTAGCCTCTTTTGATTAGTTTAATGGCTGATCACCTTGAGTGTTTCTTCAGGACTGCTCTTTGCTCACTAAAATACATTTGTTGAACTAACCTCTCGTCCTGTTCCTCATTTACAGCATTAAAGGCATTCTGTGTTCAGAACGAAATACTTGCACAGTTTTAAATACATGAATGCAGGATGAAACTATAAACTTTTCAAACTGTACATTGTTATATAATAGTCACTTTAATTCAGTGAGTTACGTCTAGAAATTATTCATTTTAATTCAGTGTCAAATATTATGGAGCCAAACCAGAGTTATTATAGTTAACTAAAATTAAAACATAAAAAAAATTTACTTAAAATAAATGTTAACTGAAAAAAATTTAATAAAATGCAAAATATAAAAATGTTTTACTTAAGCTTGTTGCCAAAGCAACATTTCTCATTCATTTGGTACTAAACAGGGTTATTATATTTAACTGAAACTAAAACTAAAAATATGATCATTTATTTTGATATATTAAAATACATTTGTAACTTAAAATGAACATTTACTGAAATAAAATAAAATACAAAAAAAGCCATTATTTCAGGTAGTTCCCAATGCAACATCTCATTTTCAATTAGTTTAACTTGATGTACTAAAATAAACAATAAATGAAATAAAATTTAAAAAAAAAAGCATAAAAATGACAAAATCACACAACAAAATAACTAAAACTTTGACTGAAATATTAAAATGAAAATATCAAATATAAAAATATAAACTAATTCACACGATAAATAAAATCTCAGTGATACTAAAATAACTAAAACTGAAATAAAAATGCATAAAATAGACATGAAAAAAAAGCTAATAAAAATGTCAAAAACACAAGAAAATTACTAAAACTTTAAAATAAAACGAAATGAAAAAATACATTGCATTGTGGGAAGCAGTGTCCTAAATTCCCACATAGTGTACATACTGCATACAGGTCGTGTGTTACGTTTTGTGTATCACATCACTAATGCTGTTACTTTTATCTTTGATTTTGTGATTTGCAGAAAGCTGGCGAAGAAGCGCAAGGAGACGCTGAACAGCACGAGACAGGAGATGACGGTGATGGTGAACTCAATGGACAAGAGCTACACGGAGCAGGGAACCAACTGTGATGAAGCGCTGTCATTCATGGACACACACAACCTCAACGGACGCTGTGAGTGAAACACACACTCGTACACACACACACACTCTCACACACACACACACACACACACACACACACACACACACCTGAAGCGGAAAACCGGCAGGGAACGGCCGATCTAACTGTTCTATAGACCTCCTTGGAGAAAGCAAGCCTCCCAGAACCGCTACATTTCTGGGCGGAGGTTGAGAGCTGCGCTCGCTGGAGACCGCTGTGCCCTGAAGCACCGGCGGTGGCAGGGTTAACAGCTCAGCCTCCTGAGGGCACTGAGGAGAGACGGGCACTGTATAATGAGGTGTACACTGCTCTTCCCCAGCGGGGGCTGCCCTCAGAAGCCCTGGGACACAAACATCAGGGCTTCTTTGTCGAAGACTTCTTAGCCAGAAGGACGGTCCTCAGATCGGCCTTCGGCTTCGAAGTCTTCGACCGTGAGCGTAGCTCCCTTCGCGATCCCCGTTCGCGTGGGGGCGTGCGAGTCGCGACACTCACTTTCTGCGCCTCTCTGTATGAGGAGCGGGCACACGGCTGAGCTAGAGAGTGGCGATGGAGGAACCGCTGAAACGCCGCCGCCGAGCCTCCTGAAACCTGTCGACGTCGGAATTGACGGCGTCGCCGAACAGGCCAGAAGGCGCAAACGGGGCGTTAAGCAGGAAGACCCTGTCCTTCTCTTTGATGTCGGACAGGGTCAACCACAAATGCCTCTCTGCGGCCACCAAGGCTGCCATCGACCGCCCGATAGCTTTGGCGGTCTCTTTCGTGGTGTGGAGAGACAAATCAGCGGTTCGCCAGAGTTCGCTAATATCATCGGCTTTAACTTCCTCACTCTCATCTAACTCTTTAAGCAGGTCTGCTTGATACGCCTGAAGAACAGCCATCGTGTGAAGGCAAGACCAGCCTGACCTGCTGCCGTGTATCCTTTGCCCACCAGTGCTGAAGCGGTACGAAGCGGCTTGGTGGGCAGTGCCGGGGCTTTAAGGGACGACGCCACACCGGGAGACAGATAGCTCGCGAGCGTCCGTTCAATCCGGGGCATCACCCTATAACAGCACTCAGTTAATCCTGTGACGTTAGAATAATCAACCAGAGACGGACTAAAGAGGCGGGCCGAGTATGGTTTCCACCTCAGTGTGGAGATCGGGAAAAAACGGCAAGCCCCGGCGTGGAGGGAGCGGCTTAGTCCGTAAAAAACGTTCATCTAATTTGCTTTTAACGGGTTCTGCCTGCTTCTCGGCGGGCCATTCGATATTTAATTTGGCCACGGCGTGCTTCGCTCCCAGACATAAAACACAAAGGCTGTGTGTATCCCTGCCCGTGATGTAGCGAGGGCAGGGAGGAACACACAACCTAAACTGCTGTTTGCCTTTATCATCCCCTTTATTTGTCTTGTGCTTAGACTTTGGCATTGCTTTATCGTTTGCCAAAGTGACAGACAACAGTAAATAGGACATACACACACAGAGTGCTTCGCTGAATGACAGAAGCTGCCGCTGTCTCCACCTCACGTGCTTTTATAGCTTCCTGGTCACACATCACCCCATCCGTGACGTCGTGCCCATCTATTGGTCTGATTACACACACGATTCAAAGCATAGTCTCGCTGAAGGCGTTCCCAAAGCGTTCGACGCAGCTCGAGTTCCTGAAAGGGAACTGTTGGTTACGTCTTACGTGAACGACAGATGTGTGTCATTATATGGGATCCATGCATTGTGTCTTAAAGTGACAGCGCCTAATTTACAAGCTGCTGTCTCTGTCCTGCTCTTGACTGAATTACTTCAGAATTAATCTATATTTAATTCATACAGTGAAGACTATGCCATGCTATTTTACATTTGATTATTTGGATTCTGTACCTGAACACCTACAAACCTGAAAAAATCAAATCGTTGTTTAATTTGTATCTTTGTTCTGTTTATTTATTTGTGCAATTTGCACGATTTCAAACAAGGCCCTCAGGTACAACCTGCACTTGGGCCAGCAAACCCCAGCTTACATTTAAACTCATATAACAAGCGTTTTAGAAATAAAAAGCATAACATTTAAGAGAAACATTTTAATTCAACTCTTCTCTGTAACCCTGGAAAAAAACAGCCCAACATAATGACCCAACAGGCTCAACCCAGCATTCTTTAGACTGTGCTGTTTCAGTCTTTCTATATCACTTCCAACATTGATTCTTTGTAACGATTTGTGAAATTTACCAGTGATTTCTGAGTGTAAACTGTTTAGTGTGGGAGCGGAATCTAAATCTGTCTGCTGAGTGGAGATTGAGTTTTCCCTCAGATGTTCCTGCGGAGGAGCTGAACTTTGTCCTGATGGAATATGGCGTGTTGTTTAGCGAGGCTAATCTCATGGCGGTGTAACCCGTTCGCTCTGCTCATCACTCATGACTTCTGCTGATGTTCAAGCTTTAATGGAGTTTGTAGTTTGTAGAAACTTGGTGCATCTGCTTACTTTGTGGTTTGGCTCCGTTTCCAAGATCTCATTGGAAATTACCTGCGGATCCGCTTTGGGAAGTCTAGCCTCAGGCGAGGAACCACACGCTAATTTCCCTCCCACGGATTGGCTGAGTACTTTGGCCTCATTTGCATTTGCGGATCGTTAGCAGATGAAGGCAGGTTAACTGAATTAAAGCAGAACTCCATTATTCTCTAACATCTGCTCTGGCGTTGAGATGTGTGTTGGAGAACACGCGTGTGCGGCTGTAATCACGGAGAGCCGGCGCTCCTCGAAGCTCTTGGTGGGGCGTTGATTAGAATTATATCACGGTTTAATTGGGAGGGTGACTCCGGCATCTTAATCAGGCCCTGCTCATTAAAATTAGCCTCTTTTGATTAGTTTAATGGCTGATCACCTTGAGTGTTTCTTCAGGACTGCTCTTTGCTCACTAAAATACATTTGTTGAACTAACCTCTCGTCCTGTTCCTCATTTACAGCATTAAAGGCATTCTGTGTTCAGAACGAAATACTTGCACAGTTTTAAATACATGAATGCAGGATGAAACTATAAACTTTTCAAACTGTACATTGTTATATAATAGTCACTTTAATTCAGTGAGTTACGTCTAGAAATTATTCATTTTAATTCAGTGTCAAATATTATGGAGCCAAACCAGAGTTATTATAGTTAACTAAAATTAAAACATAAAAAAAATTTACTTAAAATAAATGTTAACTGAAAAAAATTTAATAAAATGCAAAATATAAAAATGTTTTACTTAAGCTTGTTGCCAAAGCAACATTTCTCATTCATTTGGTACTAAACAGGGTTATTATATTTAACTGAAACTAAAACTAAAAATATGATCATTTATTTTGATATATTAAAATACATTTGTAACTTAAAATGAACATTTACTGAAATAAAATAAAATACAAAAAAAGCCATTATTTCAGGTAGTTCCCAATGCAACATCTCATTTTCAATTAGTTTAACTTGATGTACTAAAATAAACAATAAATGAAATAAAATTTAAAAAAAAAAGCATAAAAATGACAAAATCACACAACAAAATAACTAAAACTTTGACTGAAATATTAAAATGAAAATATCAAATATAAAAATATAAACTAATTCACACGATAAATAAAATCTCAGTGATACTAAAATAACTAAAACTGAAATAAAAATGCATAAAATAGACATGAAAAAAAAGCTAATAAAAATGTCAAAAACACAAGAAAATTACTAAAACTTTAAAATAAAACGAAATGAAAAAATACATTGCATTGTGGGAAGCAGTGTCCTAAATTCCCACATAGTGTACATACTGCATACAGGTCGTGTGTTACGTTTTGTGTATCACATCACTAATGCTGTTACTTTTATCTTTGATTTTGTGATTTGCAGAAAGCTGGCGAAGAAGCGCAAGGAGACGCTGAACAGCACGAGACAGGAGATGACGGTGATGGTGAACTCAATGGACAAGAGCTACACGGAGCAGGGAACCAACTGTGATGAAGCGCTGTCATTCATGGACACACACAACCTCAACGGACGCTGTGAGTGAAACACACACTCGTACACACACACACACTCTCACACACACACACACACACACACACACACACACACACAC